ACAGAGGACTGTTTGACGACAGCGCTACCGAGGTGATTTATGGGAGTTTCCTGATGGACTAAAAGAAGCTAATGTTAGATCTAGTTAGCTTATGCAGCTAAGGTTAGCTACCTTAGTCCCGGGGTGGCAGGAGCCGAATTAAAAACAACCCGGTCCGACAGAGTCAGCTAATCTCCACTACAGCTGCTTGATGGGGGGATGTAACACAGAGCTAAGTCCCTCGCTAACAGCCTGTTTTTACAGGAAATACGTAAATATGTGAAAGCAAACAGCTCTCTGATTTCTGTTACACCCAGATTTTAATGAAACACTGTGTGAATATTCTACAATTAAATTAAAAGTCGTGGTGTTGTTAAGCAGAGAACATTATTTAAAATGAATAAAATAACTTAGACACACACACACACACACACACACACATCTAATTAACCACATTTAAGACCTTTCAAGTGTCTGGAAATGTGGCTTCAAAAAGTAGAAATCCATATATGACGTCAAAGTTGAGTGTCTCATTAAGCATCAACAAAAATATGAATGAAAATAAACTCAGAAAATCAGAAAATCTAATTAGAAAAACAAACATTGTTTGTAACATTATATATATATATATATATATACAGAAACTCCTACCTAAACCTGTGGGAACATGTTAATCTTTTACCTTCTGTATTTTATTTAAGTTCCTATAAATATGATAACGTGTCAAGGTCGAGCTGCTCCGGTGTAGATTGCTGAGACGACGCCGCGGCTGTCAATGGCCAGCGTGGGCGCTTGCTCACTACTGTGCCCAGACACGCCATTTATCAGAGCTGGACTCAACACACACACACACACACACACACAAACAAGCAGAACAGCAGGTGGGCAGACACACATTCACAGAGTTGCCTACAGTGATGTATTTCCCTCTCTTTGCTGCTTCCTAAGTCCCCACAAGCGCCAAGTTTCACACAATTTTTCTTGCTGGCATCCATGTTAGGGAAAGCCTGTCAAGGTGTGCAACAACATAATGCAGCCTGCGCTTTTTCTTTCAGCTGTTGTTCTCTTTCCACTCCTCTGTTTGTCTCTTGTGTGTCGCGCTCTCCTTATCTCCCAGTGCCACTCTTCAGCTCCACTGTACAAAATCCATAGCGATCCATTGCAGTGCAACTCTGCCTCAGCTTCTGCATTTGATTTGCGTTTGTTCCCTGACACTCAGTACAACGGCCCCCTTTTTAAACTTCATTCTTCATGTCTATGTGTTCATAGTTTACATGCCTGTAATTCTTTTTATGCTCTTCTCCAGCGAGTGAGGTGGGGGGGAAGAAAGAATAGATTTTATCTCTGGATTGATCACAGCTTTTTTATTCTCGGCACGCAGGACTGCAAAAAGGTCAAAGTCACAAACATTCAGACAATAAACTAAACAAGCTTTGTTTCCTAAATATTCATCAGTTCTTTTAGACGAGAACTGGCTGCTTGAACGACGTCTTGTTTCTTACAAAACCTTTTTGTTTTCAATGCAGTAAAGTGCAGTAATTAGATTTAAGGTTGTATTAAAAGATTATTACTCCCAATCGCCACAGCTGATTGCTTAATCAATGGATCTCATATATGGGCGTGATGTCTGGGAATCGGTACACACACGTATCATAATGAGATAAACAAAAAAGCCTCTTGGACCAATACCCCAACCCCAACAAGAAGTTTGGACTTATTGGTTATTTTTGCCGATTTGCACACGTTGTATTTTCAAGAACTACTCCTAGGAAATTAATCGGATCGACTTCAGATTTGTGTTGAGGGATATAGTTAGACCCCCGATGCGCGTGGACTGAGAGAGACCTGATCAATTGTTGCTTGCAGCTTTAATTATGAACCTCAGTTCCTCTAACGGCCACTAGAGGCTGGCTCCAGGAGTGAGTCAATCTCCATAAGGCCCCATATTAAAATGCACAACTTTACAGCAGAAATAAACATGTTTACAGCCTTTTGGTCTCTTCAAAATACAGTAATCTCGTCTTTTACTTACGTCTGCTGAGAACGCCGTTCAGCATCTGCTGGAGCTCTCTGACAGAGATAGCCTGGTCCTGTTAACACAAAGAAAACTTTAAAATCATACATACTAATGCAGAATAATGCAGAATACAGTTACTACTAGGAACATAGGTCATCTATAAATCTGAGCTTTTCATTGTAATTTTATCCTTAAGTTTCAGAAAATTATTAAAATACAGTCCACACGATAATATTAAAGCTGAATTAACAATTTTTGGGGAAAATATCTGTTTTTTTAGCTGCTGGATGGTCAACAATTAGCTAAAAGAGGACTTCAGAGTTGGTGTGAGAAAATACAGTTTTTCCTTATAAAGAAGATTAAAGTGTATTAAAGGTGAAGCTGCTGTTTTCTTACATCTCCAGCCAGTTGTTCAAACAGCCTCCTCAGGCCTTTCTCCTCTTTGGACTCCTCCTCTGGAGCGCTGGGCGGCGGTGGCTGGTGGAAACAACACAGCGTCAGTACAAGCAGACGGTACTGGCGGAGGGACTGATTCTCCAATTCAAATGGGATCTACTTACATCTGGGAGGTCGGCGTCAACGTTACTCCCCATCTCCCTGTGGAGAAAAAGTTTTTTTGAGTATTTAAAAACCTCAGTAACAGCCCCGATACACACAGTTGTAATTAGTTTTTTCCCTCTAAATGTCCAAACTCAACCTTAAACTCACAGAGCTTCGGCCTTCTTCTCAGAGAAGATCCTGATGAGGAAGTCGGCCTCATGGTGGGGCTGAAAGGTGGTGGGGACCAGCAGGTATTTCCCGGGAGGAAGCGTGAAGCGCTCCGACACCTCCCGCATGTTGATGTAAGTCCTGCTGCGAGCTTTGGATCCATTATAGCGGAAGAAATCTTTCCCTAAGTGGTCCTCGTCTTCTGGAGCCTGAGACAGAGAAAAATAAAAAATAATTAATTTAACCTGTTCGAAATAAATAAATGCTAATTAACATCTAAGTTCTTAATACACGTATTAAGTAACAAAATATGATTAGTAAAGCTAACCTAACCTACTAAATGGACCTTGAGGTGAGGTTGTTTTGTTAGCTGCTGTTAACTATGAACTAACTCTGAACCTCAACAGACACAAAGCTAACTCAGTCTGTATCTTGAAAATTCGAATTTAAACTAATGTCGAGGCATATAGTTTGTTAATATTCGACAATAAAAACACAGATTTAGTTACCAGAAAATAATATAATACGGAATATTAATTATTTACAAATATTCCTTGTCGTTAGAGCTCTCACAAAAATGTATTAAATTACTTGTTTTCCGTGGGTTTACGTGTTTCTGCTTACAACTGTAATGTCCAGTTTTACGCTGATGATACTATATTGTGTGTCATATTTGATGTCAATGAGAAACTAAAGTACATAATTATTATTATTATTATATAAACATGCATAAGGTTTTAGTCAATTATATCATACCAGTTGTTAGATTATGTTTACTTATAATAAATAGTCAATGTGGAGTTTAATAAGTTGAGAAACATTGATCTAATGAGTTGCCCCACTCAACTTCGACCACGTCACTGCCAGGAAACAGTTAAATGCAGATTTTAAACCTTGTTTCTTTATAGAGAAACAAACAATTAAAATAAAAAACAGTGAGTCTGAGACTGAGGTTTGGTTTCTTTCTGACCTCGTACACTGCGAAGCCGATGGTCTCCAGGTCCAGGCCTTCCTTCCTCAGTTTTCGTCTGTTCTTCTGCATCAGCGCGATCACCACGCTGCACATGTCGTCATCGTCGTCGGCGTCCTCCAGCTGCAGCTTGAACTGCGGGTTGGTCCAAAATGTGTCTGCGGATTGAAGATGCAGAGCTTTAGCTTTAGAGACTTGTTGGTATTTGTACTCGGACTTGGCCCCATGGTCTCGCCAAATATTCTAGATGTTTTAGGTCAAAGTGGGGTTTTGTTTCTGAAGCAATTTTCTCCTTCAAAACAAAACTGCTGATGAAGTTCATGGTTACGGACTCGAGACTTTCTTTATATTGTCTCGGACTGACTTGGAATTTGCACTTAGACTTCCAGTTCTGGTGGTTCTATTCAAGTTGGTCTCGACCAAGTTCAGCTATATATGCTTGTAACTTCCTCCTTCAAAACAAAAGCATTAATGAAACGTGCTTGTTCAGAAAACCAGTATTGGTTTAATTCAATATCGATGGTAACCACGCCCGGCTGCCAAAACTCATCTCACTTCTTTTATTTCTGTCTCAGTCTTGACTTGGACTCAAACCTCTTTGGACTCGATCTGGACTGGTCCTGGTCTTGGACTCGACAAAAGGTGGTCTTATACAGCACTGCTTTAGAGGGCAGTCTACATTTAAACAGTATAATGCCAAAAAGTAAATAAAATTCAATTAATTCTATCATCTGAAATGTTGTCAGTAATCCAAACTTTTTGTTTTTTGGGGGATAAAATCTGTTAACAGACACTGTGTCGACGGTTGAGAAAGATGTTTCAGTCTCACCGATGAAGTTCCTGCAGCCTCCAGCGGTGGAGCCACGGATCCAGTTCCCCTCAAACATGCTGACCTCCCAGTTGCGCTTTGTGTTGTCGGTCAGGTCGTCAGGGGTTATGTTACAGATCTCCACCTTGTCATAGTTCCTCTTGAAGTCCTCAAACTCCATCCTGGAGACACAACGCAATCGGTCATCTCCAAATACAGCGAATTCATTCAACTTCATTTGTCACATTTGTGCTCATCGTCACAGAGTCGAATTACAATGTCGTACAATGTTCAAACAACCTTGTTTCATCGTGCTGCTATTGAATCACTCTTTTTCTTTGGTGTCATGGTTTGGAAACTTTCCTCTAAATAACAGAAACTCAAATTAAATTGTTAAATGGTCCTTTAGGCTGATTGGTGAGTCACAGTTTAACCCCAAATATGTGCAATTAGCTGATTCCTGGTTTTATGTTATTGTATTTATTGTGTTTATGTTATATATTGTCTTGTTTTTATTGCTCTTTATTGCTACCTCTTCCTGTGTCCTAAATAAAGCCATTATTAGTATGTTTCTAGTGGTTATTGTTTTCTCGTTATAAGTCCTGATTTTAAGAACCTGCAGCACTTTTATAAACTTTATAATGTTGTATCATGTTTATCTATTGTATGAGGAATGCTTGTGATCCAAATCTGCTTATATATACAAATAAAGGAACCTAACAAAAGACAGAATCTGGCAGAAATCTGAAATTTGTCATGTTTGTCAAGTAAAAGGTCTCAGCACTGTACAGCGTTAAAAGTTTGGGCACATTATCAGAATATTTCTGACCCTTTTTACAGTGATTTATTCAACTTATACATTCCTGCATACAACACATCTAATGTACAGTCTTGACGCTGAGACAAAAGCTGTACACAGTTAAAAAGATTTCTTTCGTTTTTGACCTGATTCATCACGTGGACTCACCAGAATTCACCGTCGTCTGTTGAATTCTGCAGGATGCGATTCTTCTCTGCTTTGTCAACGTAACTCCACTCTCTGGAACTGAAACAGACAAAACAATCTGTTACAACCTTAACAATGAGTAAGCAATAATACCAAAAAACTGACAATAACAAACATTGTTTTTCAATTGAGGAATTGTTGTTGTTGTTTAACATGAAATCTTATTTTCCATAAATATACTTTATATATTTTTATAATTAATAAAGCAGCATCGTCCTTTAAGCTTACTCGTCACTCCAGGGGCCGTTCCACTCGACCTGACCCCAGGGGTTTCTGACCCGGATCAGCTGGACCGTATTACCTCTGTAATTCACCTGAAAATCAGACACATTTACTTACTTTGTTGTTAAAAAAAACACAAAATCTTCAACTTTTCTGATCAGAAAACAACAATAATCTCTGCAGCAGTTATATCACTATTGAGCTGACGGGAGTCTTACCTCCTCCAGGCCTGTGATGGAGTACGCATGTCCCTTCACCAGGCCGGTGGTCGTCTTGGCCTCGGACTCTGCAGAGCTGGAGATCTAGAGAAACACCCACAGAGAGATTTAAAACAGAAGAACTTGGCTGAAGTACAGAACCTCTGATACGGGTTGTGGAAGTAACACTTAGGTCTTTACATCAATAGAGCATCCCATCATGGAGCCTCTGTCCAGGGCCTTCTTCATGATGGAGAACAGGTTGTTTGGAGCTTGCTTGGTTTCATAGACTTCCCCCACGCCGCCGGTAAAATCCTCCATGGCCTCCATGGTGCTGCCGCCCTTCAGGGACTCGTAGCTGCCGTGCAGTCTAAAATAAACAAGAGAACACATCACCGTGATTAACAGGGGTTAAACAAAGTGAGGAAGTCGAAAGCCGAACTTGAATATTAACTCGTATATAAACAAACGAGAGGAATCTCTCTTTCTGTTCCATTCAGAGTCAAACAGAGTCAGGGTGCTGCTGTTGTGTCTGTTGTCTCACTGGAAAGGCTCAGCTACACTAAATGGAACGGATCCTTAATAACTGTGTTTACCCTACTGTTTCAGGTCAAAATGGCTGCTGTGAAAAAGGTCAAGATATTTCACTCAAAGCCAAAAATGTGCAAACACTGTGACTGTTCCAGCAGCTCCCCCAGAGGCTGAAATATTAATTTGCTCCTTTCATTGAGCTTCACTATTGATAAAGCACTAGGTCAATCAGTTTGTTTGATCATTGTTGGTGTAATGAAATGAACAGCTGACAGAGCTTTACGTTTTCAGTCACATTTAAGCATATATGATCAGATTAAAGAGGTATACTGAGGTATGAGGTGTGATTTTGGACAAAACAAAGGCTTTTGTTTGCACTAAAGAAGCCATAGCGCTCAATCCTGTTTTAATTGTTTGGTTGTTGAAATTGGTCTGAACAGGTCCCGAAGTGATGACAAATGTCAGTCGAGAGTGACGTAAAAGTCACATTAATTTTGATATCTGTTCACACTGAGGTCACATAACAGACCAGACCAGTATCTGATTGGAGTCACATATTGAAAGTTGTGAAATGTACTTTGATGGGTGGATGTAAAGTGTGTATAAAGATAAAGTGCAGTTACTTGGCGTAGGCTTTCTCCAGCAGGGCGCTCCAGAACTCATTGTTGGAGGCCGAGTGAAGCATGATGAGCTTATTCCTCACCGACGGCAACCGGTCGTCCACCACGACGTCCAACCATTTATTGTGCTGCCAGAACTGAGACAGAAACAGAGAAAGTTGTTCAACTACTCACCTGCAGCTCATTGTTTATTATCTGTAACAGCCTGAAAAGTAAAGAGATTTCTCTACATTTTTATTTAAAATGAAGCCGTTTTGTTTTGTGAATTTGCTATTTTTTGGCCCAAGTAACTACTAACAAACTAATTATTAATAGACTTCAGTAATGATATTACAGTTACACCCCCCAAAAAATAAATAAAGTTACAACATTACTTTGTAATACGTCGCCCTATTGATCTGAAATCCAACAATCCAATCACTTCCTTGGATTCATTTTTGAGGAAACTAGTCTGGAAGATGGAAACTTTTATAGTCAGCAGCTGGAAATATTCACATTACTTTGATTTTAACAAACAAAACAGGATTTTAATCGTCGTTAGTCTGAGTTTTAGGGAAAAAGGACACAATTGTCAATTTTGTGGGGAGTAGCATAACTAGTAGTGTAACTAACTACTGTGTGGGCGGCTGTGGCTCAGAGCAATTGGAAGGTTGTTGGTTTCGATATCCCGGCTCTCTGCCACGTGTCGAAGTATCCTTTGAGCGAAATACTGTAATCCCAAATTGCTCCCGATGCACAGCATTGGTGTGTGAATGTGTATGTATGAGTTAGTTTCTGTTTGATGGACACAAGTACAGGTCCATTTACCACTGTTGGCAGGGAGTAATAAGTAAAGTTACTTTTGAAAGGAGTAATGATGAAATTACATTTTTAAGTAACTATATCTAAAACACTAAAAGGACACTTTGTGTCAATATCTCTATATATACTAGTTTATAATATAATATTTGTAGAATTACAGTTTCTTGTATCTGTTTTTATGATGTTTAAATAAAGTGGGTTCATTTGATTAGTGTACCACCGCCTCTCGTCCGGTGGCAGCGGGATGGAAAGCTCCAGCTGTAGGTGGAGCTAATTAATGAGCGGAGGGTTAATTAACTGTATTAAAGGGTTTTAACCATTAAATGTACATTATTAAGCTTCAGGCACCACATAGTTAATCCCATCCATTCTGAATGAATCTGTCTGGTTTATTTGTGTCTTTTTTTATTTATTCTCTCCTTCCTGACGCAGACTGAAGCAGCCAATCAACTGTCTGCGCTCAGATGCCTCATCAGCCTGCAGCCAATCAGCCACCAGCGTACCTGGAAGTGAAAGATCCCGGCGTATCTGTGGTCGAACTCCTGGTCGTTGGGAATGACTCGGGCCAGGGCATCCTTTTGGAGCGTCAAGGATGCGATGGCTGCCAGGAGCCAGCAGTCCCCTGTGGTGAGAAACAGGTGCATCGTGGGTAAAATGAGTGAAATAGGTGCTTACAAAACACACAAAATAACCCTGTGCAGATAAATCAGAGTACCAACCGAGCTGTCCTTGGCAGATGTCCGTCCTGTCTGTATCGCCTACGATGAACTTTGGGTTGTCGCAGATCTCCTGTGGCGAGAAAAAAAGGAAAAAGAACAGGTTGGTTTTATTTAACGAAAACAAATAAATGAAAACTACAAATGACAGTTAAGAGGTGACACAGGTTCCTTTGATAGGTGTGTTCACATTCCTGGCATATTAATCAGCCTTTAAATCCCAGGCACTGGAACAGAGAAAACACACACTGAACGCCAACAGCTGAAGCATTTACTCTGAAGGAACGCCCAACAGAGAAATGTGTCATTGTAAAGAAGAGTGGTGAGTTTTCTGCAGTTTTTTACTGGCTTAAAAAAGTCAGTGCTGAGACACGTTAACAGGGGAAGATGCTGGAAATGAAGCTTAAATAAACACTTTGAATTGAAAGTGTAATGTAGCCGAAACGAGCCACAGCTTTAAAGATCTCATTAAGAAATAAAACAAAAAAAGGCTTCACACAGATGTCTTTATTTAAAACCAGCGAGCTGCAGACAGTTTTACTGCTGATAACACAGAGGCGTGAGAGGATAAAGTCTGCGTACGGCGCTCAGAGGGTAGAAACTGTCCCTACACTTGGATCTATTTACACTGTTTTCTAGCAGAACTGGTTTTGTAAGTTAGCTGGATAAATACTTAATTGCTTTTTTCTTTCTGTGTGTTAAAAGCAATACAAACCAACTTCACATGAACTCACTTCACTCACACACCGTAAAGTCAGTGTGATTATTAACAGTAACTGTCAGTCTGCACTGCTGTAGACAGCTTTAGTGCAGCAGTTTTTTGGTTTTCATGTATTTCAGGTTGTAACAGACCAGAGAAAGAACAGTAAATATGAGCAGTTTTTATCACTAAAAACAACTAAAATATTAAAGAGTGTTCAATCATATCATCCAACAGTCTCCATTAAGTGACACTTCACCCAGAAACCACAACTTTTTATTCATTTATCATATAGTTTTTTTGTCTAAATTTAACAGATTTAACCACTGATTTTGAAAGATTAAGAAGCTTTTTTTTAGCACAACTTGCTCAGTTGTCTGGATGCTGCTTTTACCAGAGCATCCGTCTGAATGTGCCTACATACCGTGGGCCTCTTCCATTTAATGTTCACAGGAACGCTCTGGCTGAAGAAGAGCGAGGAGTCGGTGGCGGGGAAGTCTGGATCCTCAAACAGGACCCCCTTCTGCAGACACTCCTGCCTCAGCTGCTCAAACGACTTCCCGTCCGACTGTGTGTCTATGGCCTTGGTGGAGCCGGAGCTCTTGCCGGACAGAGTGGACTGGAGGGGCATCCTCTTCTATCTGTTTGGGGGCCAAGAACCTCAGTGAGTGGAGAAGAGGTGAGGTGGTGGCGTGATGGAGAGAGTCGTCTGCCTGCTGTGTGTCTGATGCCGGGGACAAGCCTGTCGGGTCAGTAGAGCTGGATGGTACACACCCTCCAGACAGAAACTGGTTTATCCTCCCCTGGCAGTGAACCTCGCCCCTGCTGACTCTCTCTCTCTCTCTCTCTCTCTCTCTCTTGTCTCTTATCTCGCTCTCTCTTTGGGTTTGGCCTGCAGGAAACTGTAAGAATTCATTCCTGATGGTTTGTCAACAGATGAATTAAAATCTCATTCAAAATAGCAAAACAGCCTCTAAAGGGGGACTTTTAATGTTTAATTTAGCTGTAAACAGAGTTGTCTTGACAGAAAATGTGTTGTGTATTAAACATTTTTTAATATACAACTGATTTATATATACTGAATATACAAGAAAATTACCTTATTGTGAACAAGGTACTTCGGGAGGCTGTGGCTCAGGAGGCAGAGCAGGTCAGAAGCTTGGTGGTTCAAGTGTTGAGCGAGATACTGAACCCCAAATCCCAATGCTGTGGTGTGTGAATGCGAATAAATGAATGAGTTAGTTTCTGTTTGATAAGCTTTTGCCATCGCTATGTGAACGTGGCATACTTCGAGTGGTCAGAAGTCTAGAAAGGTGCTATACAAGTACAAACCATTTATGATTAACTACCTTAATAAATGCAAGAGTTTGTGTAGGTTTACCAGAAACTACTGTATTTAAAGGTCCAGTG